CAGACGTTATCCATGCTGAAGCGCATTGAAGGAGCAGGGAACGCACAGGGATAGATAGGAGCACGCTGTGCCGGTGGGAAATGCACTGAGCGCGCTGTCCTCAGCTGAGCAGCACGGGAGGATTTAGGGGGTCCGTGCCCATTGGGGGGTCCCAGCAAGGCGCATGGGATCATCGCAGAGCCGATACCAGCCGTTGTCTCTCTGCAAATCTGCTGCGGGGGCAAAGCAGGCAGAGGGACGGCAGTAGGGTGGCCGGGGACGCGTGTCCAGCCCGGCCCCGTGCGGCAGCTTGCCTTACAAGGAGTTTGGCTGCGACCCGAGCGGCGGGAGCAGCGCTCGCCTCCTCCTGCCTCATTCATTGCGAGCGGCACTGGGGCCGCTGCTCCCCGGCACCGCCGTGAGCTCCGAGCGCCCAACATCCCAGCGGCAGGTGGGACGCTGCTTTCTCTCTTTCTGGGGTGCGGGTAGAAATGGGGTTCCCCATCGTTGCTTCGCTCTCTCGCAGGACCGAGGATGGCCTCGATGTTCGGCAAACCGCGGGTCAGCACCGAGCGACCGCCGCAGAGCCCCGTGGCAGAGTGCAACGTGGCCATCCTGGGCTGCCGGGGGGCCGGAAAGTCAGGTGGGAGCAGCGCTGAGCCGCAGCTGCTGTATGGCTTTTCGGGAGCCGCGGGTGCCTGCACCACTCCTGCTTCCAGCATTGGCACCACTGCAGCATCCCTGCCCCGGTGCCGGGCAGCATCCCTGCTATAATGGGGTTTTGTGTGTTTGGGAAAGGAAAAAGTTCCTCTGCAATCGTTCCAGAGCCCCCTGGGTCATGTGCACGGCTGTGGCTGCGTTTGCTTGTTTTGCATGTGATTCCCATGGATGTATATTTATATTAATGGCTATTTGTGGACCTTTTCGGTAGCAGCAATGTTTCCACCTGTGTGATTTGGGGCTGCGTTCTGCATGAGTCCTGCAGGAAGCACACAGGTCACTAAAAGTGGGTCCCCAGAGGCCATCTCTGAGCCCCACTGGTGAGGTGAAAGCCTCTAAAAATCATCAAATCGTAGATGTTTGGCCCAGAATGGCTTTCTTTTTGGTGGAGAAAACAACAGCGCTTTGTAAGAGGCAATCCTGGGAAAGCCATGGGACAAGTGGGCAGGATCTGGGGGGAAAAAAAGTTGCTTTTGGGCTGGGCAAAGGGATGGAAGGCAGATGGGAGAGGGGTGAATGGCCCCACTGCTGCCTGCGGGTGGGGTGTGGTGGGATGGGAGGTGACAGCATGCTGCTCAGTGGGGTGACCATGCCATCCTCCTCCACCTCCTGCAGCGCTGACAGTGAAGTTTCTCACCAAGAGGTTTATCAGCGAGTACGACCCCAACCTGGGTAAGGCGTTTCTCCCCCCAGTTATTGCACCCCAGAATTCCCTGCATGTCCCCAGTGTGCTCTGCTTCCCATCTCCCACACTTCCCACGAGTACGGCATCTAAAAGGGGGGAAAAAAAACAACACGGCACCAAAAAGCAAAACAAGGAAACAAAACCCATCAAATAAACAAACAAACAAACCCAAAAGACATGAGAAATGTCAAAAGGGCCGAATTCAACCCAAAACAGCGGTGAGAACAGGCGCGTCCCATAGGAAGCAGCCATTCCTTGCATCTCCTCTCCAGATGTGGCCCTCCTTTAGGTGTGGCCCCCCATCCCTCTTTGGGATGTTGGCTGAGATGAGCAGCGCTGCACTGCAGGTGTCTCTGGGGACCGTGTGGTGCTGTGGAGTGGCTCTGGGCAGTTTCTTTTCCACCCTGTTTGAGCAATTAATAACTATTTTCCTGGGCTTGTTTCCAGTCTGCAGTGAAGAGCTGTAAATGATTTATCAGGGACATTCGGGAGATATGGAGCCCGTCCAGGAAGCGGCTCCAGCCCCTCATCGCTTCTAGGAAAGAAGGAAAAATCCTCTGTTCAGTTTCACAGCGGCTCTGCCATCTTCCCACAGCAAAACCTCCCCGAAAGGCACCCACCAGGAGCAGCTGGCAGAAGGCATCCCCCGATGGAGGAGCCCTCCTGGTTCCCAAAGCAAGGCCTTGCTGCTTTTGCCCGAGTGATGGGCGCTCAGCCCTGTGCTGAGCCCTTGACTGCCATGTCTCACTGGGTTGTGGCACTGAGATAAGGGCTGAGCCAGGGGTGATGGCCATGCTGGAGCCCATGGTGGGGGTGGAGAGCAATCAGCCGCCGCTTGCAAAAATGCAGCAGATTCTGGGGTTAAACCTCAAGGAGATGAACCCTGTCAGGTTAGGGAGGCTGTGGTTAGGGTGGTTCAGAGCAGGTGGGAGCTCGATTTCTTGCCAAGTGGAGTCAGGAGGTGGAAAGAATAAATATGCCACCCTGCTTTCTGCATGCAGTGGGAGAAAAGCAGCTCCCAGCCAGGCCTGTCCCCACTGCATCCTTCCAAAAGATGCTGTTGGAAGGAGCCCAGTGTGTCCCCCAGCAGTGGATGCTCCTTACCAGAGGCTGAGCTATTTCCATGACACCTCAGCCAGGCTTTGCCTGGCACTGGGGTCGTACAACCCATCCTCAGAGCCACCCTTGCCTTGCAGAGGACACCTACACCTCGGAGGAGCTGGTGGACCAGCAGCCCGTGCTGCTGAAGGTGATGGACACGGCCGACCAGGTGAGGGCCGGGCAGCGCCGGTGCCACAGTGACATGGTGCCCCGCTCACCTCTCCTCTCATCCTCAGGATGGCCCCGTCAACTGCGAGCGCTACCTGCACTGGGCCAACGCCTTCCTCGTTGTCTACAGCATTGACAACAGGAGGAGCTTTGAGGGCTGTGGCCGCTACCTTGATGTCCTCGCCCGGCATGCGCGGGGCTGCCAGCGCCAGAGCCCAGTGCTGCTGCTGGGCAACAAGCTGGACATGGAGCAGTACAGGTACCCACCGCCCTTCTTTTCCCAGTAGGAAACGGCCCCACTGCCAATGGGGCAGTGTGCTTGCTCGGAGCCCGTTGCTGCCTTTGGTGGGATGCCTTGGAGTAGCTATGGGGCCTTGACAAACTGAGCCTTCATCCCACTGGTCCTCAACCAGTGGTCCTGCTCTCAAGACCTGTCCCCTTTCCAAAGGGTTCTGTCATCACCTCCACATCCTACACCCTCACTTGCCTTTTTTTGTTGTCCCCTCGTTGCAAAAACAAGAGAACCCCTCAGCCCTTTCTAATGGGCCAAGTGCACCAAGTGAGACCATGCCATTGCCCCTCCGCTCTCCTCAGGCAGGTGACCAAAGCCGAAGGGATGTCCCTGGCCACCAAGTTTGGGTGCCTGTTCTACGAGGTGTCGGCGTGCCAGGACTTCGCGGCGGTGCAGCACGTCTTCCACCAGGTGGTGCGGGAGCTGCGGCGCGAGGCAGAGCACAGCCCAGCCTTGCGGCCTCTCTTCGTCGCCGAGGAGCAGCCCTGCCTGGCCGTGGCCACCCGGCATGGCCTGGCCAGCTGCACCATCAACACTCTGTCTACTGTCAACCTCAAGGAGATCCCCTCGGTGGCCCAGGCCAAGCTGGTCACTGTCAAGTCGTCGCGAGCTCAGAGCAAAAGAAAAGCGCCCACGCTCACCTTGCTAAAAGGTTTCAAGATATTTTGAGGTGCATCCCTTCCCTGTCCTGCAGGGGGCTGGTAGCACCGGGGATGGGGACCTCATCCCACTGACCCCTGCACAGCCCTGCCTGGGTGATGCATCTGTGGATTTGGGCTCCGCCTGGAGCCAAGAAGCATTGCTGGAGAGCTGTGCTGTGCATGGCTGCTCGGGCTTCCGTGCGTGAATGGGACCAACTCACCAGCAGGCAGATGGGAGCCCAGGGAGTGAGAACTGCTCCTTCATCAAACACAGAGACGCCTGTGTCTCACGGGTCCCCTCACCAAGCAATAACTAGGAAGAATTCATTTTTTTCCTCCAAATGAGAAAGATGTGGAGAATGTCACAGGTGACTGCGGGCCTCAGGTGCCCTGAAACTGGTCCCTGTGCATTGAAGTAAGGAACACCAAAACAGCTGGTTTTTTAACCAACTTTTTACAGGATGATGTTCCTTTTCAAAGGTTTTGCAAGCAGAGATGCTTCATCGACCAGAACACATTCTTAAAAGCTTTTCTTTAAAAAAAACTGTTGTCTTTTCCAAATGTCTTAAGTTATTTCACGGCCTCCATGTGTGCCCTGTGAAGGGTGTGAAGCAGATCCTACAGCAGAGTGCTGTGTGCCACAGGCAGGCTGTGCCCATGCCAAGGCCCGGGGCTGTGTGCTCGTGTTTCTTGAGGTGAACGTTCTGCTTCTCCCCAGAGTCGCATCTATCCGCAGAGCAAGATACCATGTGCAGATTTGTACATACATTCATACAGATACGACTACAGTGATATAGAGAGATTCAGCACAGGGTTTTGATCGAGCACTTTGGAAAATATTTTAATAAAGGTAACTTTTGAAAAGAACAAACATTCCCCTGCTTCAGTGTCAGTGTTTCCATGTCTGCAGGTGAGGGCCTGGGCCCTGGCTGACTGTGAGCCCCCACCTCTCCTCCCATCCCAGCAGGCGGCAGCTGAGCGAGGGGCGTAAAGAGCAGCCAGAGGAGGCTGCAGAGGGGAGGCACAGGTTTGCCTCTGAGACCTGAGCTGCTTCTACTGACACAGCTCTTTTGTCTTTTCTTTTCTTTTCTTTTCTTTTCTTTTCTTTTCTTTTCTTTTCTTTTCTTTTCTTTTCTTTTCTTTTCTTTTCTTTTCTTTTCTTTTCTTTTCTTTTCTTTTCTTTTCTTTTCTTTTCTTTTCTTTTCTTTTCTTTTCTTTTCTTTTCTTTTCTTTTCTTTTCTTTTCTTTTCTTTTCTT